GCTTCTAAAAATTTTTAAATAAAAGCGTTTTATTGTGGTTGGTCTGATAGCTGAAAAAATTTTTCAACTTAAATAATACGAAACCAGATGATAAACAAACTTAATCATTAATAATAAATTATTTATGCAATAATATTTTTGTGAAACAATATAGGCATCAGCATTGTACGATTCCTTTATATAATTTCTTCACATAACAGTTCATATGTTAGCATAAGCAGAGAACTCTCTTGTTAAGATTATGGAATCAAATTAGTATAAAATATAGAGAACATAAAATTCTCAAAAGTATTCCATTAAACACTTTTGACAAATTATTTTTTGTGCACATATTATATACAATCTCTACTTCATATTTTATATAAAATAAAATATTTGAAAAATTTTACAAATATAGTTTGGAGTATGAAAAGATATCAAGCATTTTTATATTCTACTATTTTACTTGTATAATAGACCTAAACTGCAGCATTTCTATATAAGAGACTGTCATTAACGCAAGGACCAAACTGTTTGAAATATTTTGATAATAATATTCTAATGTTATTTCTGGAGAAAAATATGTTTGCTAATGAAAAAACGATTCCAAAAAAAAATGTTAATGAAAATCTCTTTAAAAATATTGAAAATCAATCTAGTATAACAAACATGTAGTCAATAATAATATAATAATGATTTTTAGTCAAGCTCCTACCATATAAGAGAAAATAATAATATTATTTCTAACATAATATTGCAAACAATTGGTGGAAAATTTGTCCTACTCGTATTTTATCAGTATAATTAGAAGTAAAAATTATTGTAGTGACTGTCAAGTGAAATGAAAAATACTATTATATGTTATATAAAAAGAAAAATAGAAGAAAATCATATGGAAATAAAATTTAAATTAAAAGGAAGTGATCTATGTACTTGATAATACACTAGCATATTTTTGATATGTTCCATTAAGGTTTTTAATATAAAGTGATTTTATTCGTTTATAGTACTGTACAAAATGTTAGAAATTCGACTACGTGTTACAATCTTCATTGCACTTGTTAAACTGAACGTTTTTATAGATAAAAACAAGGCCGTTGTTGTTAACGGTTTATATGAGAGCGGGTTGAATTGCAAATCCAAAACGAATTTTACCGATTATCTTATTTTAAAGAATGAGTCAAATGTATTACAACAATTTCCGAATTTCTATACTCGTATATTGACCTTTTAGCAATCAGTTTAAAGGGCAAAATTTAGTATAAATACTTAAATAATTCAATTTATTTATCAGTTCAACAATTAGTTTCCAACAGCAGAGTTATCTTATCCATTGTATAATATTTGAGTATAGTCTTAAAATCAAAAAATTTTATAATGAAACTACTAAGCATTGGTGGATTAGCTTTTGTACTTGTTGGATTGGCTTCAGCAGGACATCATCATGGTGGTGGTGGTGGTGGTGGTGTTGGTCATGGTGGTTCTGTTAGTTATAGCGTTGTAACAAAGCACGACGATTCACATGGACACGGTGGTCACAGTGGTCATGGCGGTCATGGTGGTCATGATGGCCATCATGAACATAGCAGTTATGTTATAACTTCGCATGGTGGAGGACATGACGGCGGACATGGTGGATATGATGGTGGACATGGTGGTCATGATGGCGGTCACGATGGAGGACACCATGGCGGTCACGAAGCTCACCATTATCCTAAATATGAGTTCAGTTATGGTGTTGAAGATAAACATCATGGAGATAAAAAAAGTCAATGGGAACATCGTGATGGTGATCATGTGAAAGGTAATGAAGTACATTTGTATATAATTTTATTAACATATTCACATAATATAATTTTTTGCATTGTTTTTATAGGTAGTTACTCACTTAAGGAAGCTGATGGCACTACTCGTGTTGTAGAATACACTGCTGATAAACACAGTGGATTCAATGCTAAGGTCCATAAAATCGGACATGCCCACGGTGGTCATGATGGAGGTTACGATCATGGTCACGGACATGGTCATGGTCATGGACATGGTGGTCATGGAAGCAGTTACGTTAATGTTAAACAACATCATTAAATGCAAAAGAATTTCATATTGAAAAACTATAGAATATATATCAGTGCAAACTGTTAAAATAGTTGTTTAATATGTAAATAATAAATACGAGTATTCATATAGGAATAAAAATGTTTTACTTTGAAAATGTTTACGATATGAGATATAGTGTTTAATTTGTTAAATTTTTGATTACAATATTGAAATGGAAATTGCTTTCGAATAAATGGATTACATCTGTATATCATTTACTAAGTACCCAATAATTACAAAACTTTTAAGAGAAGGGTGAAAAATAGCTATTTGGTTCTTTGTTTTTTTAAAGTATTAGTCAATTTATTAGTCAATATAATTATAGATTTGTTGTAAATTCGTTCCAAACTGAAACAAAACTTCACTAATTTAACGAGAATAAACTATGAAGAAGTTACCAATATATTAATTTAGATTATTTATCTTATTTAACGTCTCCGTATTAGGAAGTATTTGAAACACGCTCAAATATTTTAAACATTATATGTTTTTAGAAAATAAATTATAAATATTTTGTAGAAATTTTAAGAAAATAGCTTGTTTGCATTTACATTTTGAGTCTGTTTGTTTTGAAATCATCTTTGTTGTATTAAATTTGAAGATCAGTCAATAAATTATTTATGCAATAATATTTTTGTGAAGCAATATAAGCATCAGCATTGTACGATTCCTTTATATAATTACTTCACATAACAGTTCATATGTTAGCATAAGTAGAGAACTCTCTTGTTAAGATTATGGAATCAAATTAGTATAAAATATAGAGAACATAAAATTCTCAAAAGTATTCCATTAAACACTTTTGACAAATTATTTTTTGTGCACATATTATATACAATCTCTACTTCATATTTTATATAAAATAAAATATTTGAAAAATTTTACAAATATAGTTTGGAGTATGAAAAGATATCAAGCATTTTTATATTCTACTATTCTACTTGTATAATAGACCTAAACTGCAGCATTTCTATATAAGAGACTGTCATTAACGCAAGGACCAAACTGTTTGAAATATTTTGATAATAATATTCTAATGTTATTTCTGGAGAAAAATATGTTTGCTAATGAAAAAACGATTCCAAAAAAAATGTTAATGAAAATCTCTTTAAAAATATTGAAAATCAATCTAGTATAACAAACATGTAGTCAATAATAATATAATAATGATGTTTAGTCAAGCTCCTACCATATAAGAGAAAATAATAATGTTATTTCTAACATAATATTGCAAACAATTGGTGGAAAATGTCCTACTCGTATTTTATCAGTATAATTAGAAGTAAAAATTATTGTAGTGACTGTCAAGTGAAATGAAAAATACTATTATATGTTATATAAAAAGAAAAATAGAAGAGAATCATATGGAAATAAAATTTAAATTAAAAGAAAGTGATCTATGTACTTGATAATACACTAGCATATTTTTGATATGTTCCATTAAGGTTTTTAATATAAAGTGATTTTATTCGTTTATAGTACTGTACAAAATGTTAGAAATTCGACTATGTGTTACAATCTTCATTGCACTTGTTAAACTGAACGTTTTTATAGATAAAAACAAGGCCGTTGTTGTTAACGGTTTATATGAGAGCGGGTTGAATTGCAAATCCAAAACGAATTTTACCGATTATCTTATTTTAAAGAATGAGTCAAATGTATTACAACAATTTCCGAATTTCTATACTCGTATATTGACCTTTTAGCAATCAGTTTAAAGGGCAAAATTTAGTATAAATACTTAAATAATTCAATTTATTTATCAGTTCAACAATTAGTTTCCAACAGCAGAGTTATCTTAACCATTGTATAATATTTGAGTATAGTCTTAAAATCAAAAAATTTTATAATGAAACTACTAAGCATTGGTGGATTAGCTTTTGTACTTGTTGGATTGGCTTCAGCAGGACATCATCATGGTGGTGGTGGTGATGGTGGTGGTCATGGTGGTTCTGTTAGTTATAGCGTTGTAACAAAGCACGACGATTCACATGGACACGGTGGTCACGGTGGTCATGGTGGTCATGGTGGTCATGGTGGTCATGGTGGTCATGGTGGTCATGGTGGTCATGATGGCCATCATGAACATAGTAGTTATGTTATAACTTCGCATGGTGGAGGACATGACGGCGGACATGGTGGATATGATGGTGGACATGGTGGTCATGATGGCGGTCACGATGGAGGACACCATGGCGGTCACGAAGCTCACCATTATCCTAAATATGAGTTCAGTTATGGTGTTGAAGATAAACATCATGGAGATAAAAAAAGTCAATGGGAACATCGTGATGGTGGCCATGTGAAAGGTAATGAAGTACATTTGTATATAATTTTATTAACATATTCACATAATATGATTATTTACATTGTTTTTATAGGTAGTTACTCACTTAAGGAAGCTGATGGCACTACTCGTGTTGTAGAATACACTGCTGATAAACACAGTGGATTCAATGCTAAGGTCCATAAAATCGGACATGCCCACGGTGGTCATGATGGAGGTCACGATCATGGTCACGGACATGGTCATGGTCATGGACATGGTGGTCATGGAAGCAGTTACGTTAATGTTAAACAACATCATTAAATGCAAAAGAATTTCATAGTGAAAAACTATAGAATATATATCAGTGCAAACTGTTAAAATAGTTGTTTAATATGTAAATAATAAATACGAGTACTCATATAGGAATAAAAATGTTTTACTTTGAAAATGTTTACGATATAAGATATAGTGTTTAATTTGTTAAATTTTTAATTACAATATTGAAATGGAAATTGCTTTCAAATAAGTGGAGTACATCTGTATATCATTTACTAAGTACCCAATAATTATAAAACTTTTAAGAGAAGGGTGAAAAATAGCTATTTGGTTCTTTGTTTTTTTAAAGTATTAGTCAATTTATTAGTCAATATAATTATAGATTTGTTGTAAATTCGTTCCAATTTGAAACAAAACTTCACTAATTTAACGAGAATAAACTATGAAGAAGTTACCAATATATTAATTTAGATTATTTATCTTATTTAAAGTCTTCGTATTAGGAAGTATTTGAAACACGCTCAAATATTTTAAACATTATATGTTTTTAGAAAATAAATTATAAATATTTTGTAGAAATTTTAAGAAAATAGCTTGTTTGCATTTACATTTTGAGTCTGTTTGTTTTGAAATCGTCTTTGTTGTATTAAATTTGAAGATCAGTCAATAAATTATTTATTTAAGTTGAAAAATTTTTTCAGCTATCAGACCAACCACAATAAAACGCTTTTATTTAAAAATTTTTAGAAGCAGATATTTCGTTCTTTATTTTAGAACATCTTCAGTGCTATAATAATTATACAAAAAAATTACAAAATAAAACTTATAAAAGTTACACATTACAATTAAAATATTACCTTAATTTTTTAATAAAAAGCTTAACTTAAGGTTTATAAAATTACAATTAAAAACAATATATACGTAAAGTAACATATATATAAAATGACACTATTAAAGGCACAAATATTAAATTAACAATAATTATTTTTGTTTTTAACATCACATATGTTCGATATCAGACAATAATAAACATAGAAACAAAAATAAGGAAAATGGAATTATAAAATCTATTTTGTTATGTCAAAAACTTTAGTACAACTTATATAGTTGTCTTTGTTTAATAAATTTAAAAAATATAATATACATTATTATTATTTCTCTTAAAACATCTCAGAATCAATATCAAACGGTCAAATTATTTTCTTTCTTCTTTTTTTTTTTTTTTGTTTTCTTTTAACCGATATTTGTCAAGTATATTAGAATAAAGAGCACTGAAATTCTCTGTGTCTTTTTTAAAATTCACCACCTGGTTGTAATTTAATATAATGTGTATGACTTCAGCTAGTACTCTTTTTTGGTAATTATTTTCAATTTCAAGAATTGAAGCATCTTCGAAATTGAAAGTATGTTTAGCTGAATGATGATGTTCAGATAAGGCTGTTTTTTTATAATCATCAGTGCGTCTGCACGTACTTTTATGCTCACTTAACCTTTTTGATAATTTTTGTTTCGTCATTCCTATATAAGATTTACTGCAATCATTACAATTAATCTTATATATTAGATTAGACAAATTTTCTTTTTTCTCTTGATCTTTCAGCTTTGAGAAAAAAACATTGGTTGTTTTTAAATTATATAATACAACGTCAATAATTTGTTCTTCTTTGAAAAGTTTCGAAATTTTTTGAGATAAACCAGGAATGTTTGGAAAAGTGCACCTTTTTTTAATATTGTTAGAATTGCTCACTGTTGTGTTTTTAACTAATTGTGTATGTTTATTTGATAATAATATTTTGTTAACGAAATATTTAGGATAGTTATTATTATTTAGTATTTTTTTAATTTGTTTAATATTATCTTCCATAAATATTTCATCACTTAAAGCTTTAACTCTGCTTATAAAGTTTCTAACAGTGTTGACTTTTTGGTGTATTGGATGATTAGATAAAAAATTCAGTAATCTACCTGAAGATGTCGGTTTTTTATACCAGTTGGTGATAATCTTTTTGTCATTTCTTATGACCATAATATCTAAGAAAGGAATTTTTCCATCCTTTTCAATTTCATATGTAAATTGAATGTGTGGATTCACATTGTTAAAAGCTGTAACCGTATTATTAACTTCGTCTTTGGGTATTGCAAATAACGTATCATCAACATAATACATAGCCAATGTTACTTCAAATGGTAATTTATTTAAAACTGTTGATATTATAAACTCCATAATGAAGTTAGCTAGTGATGGTGATGCCGGATTTCCCATTGATGTACCGTCCAATTGATGAATAATTTTATTATTGAATTTAAAAAAGCTATTGTTAAAAATAAATAAAATTATTTCTATGAATATGTCTTTTGGAATTGCCGTAAAACAACTTATAAAACACCAGTATTTTTTAATCATTTCTACCATCAAGGTTTTGGGAATGCTAGGAAACAGGGATATTACATCTAATGATATTAATATGTATCCATCTGGAATATTCGTTTTCTTTAAAATCTCAATTGCTTCGAATGAGTTTTTAATACTCCGGTGGAAAGTGGAACATATTTTTGAGAAAATTTTATGAATAAATGTAGATAAGTTGTATGTAGGTGAGTTAATGTTACTAATCACAGGTCTATAAGCTATTTTTTGTATAATTATTATAGCACTGAAGATGTTCTAAAATAAAGAACGAAATATCTGCTTCTAAAAATTTTTAAATAAAAGCGTTTTATTGTGGTTGGTCTGATAGCTGAAAAAAATTTTTCAACTTAAATAATACGAAACCAGATGATAAACAAACTTAATCATGAATACTAATGGCTTCTTTATGGAAATAAAAACAAAATTTGGTTACAAGAACATGTTACTATTAAAACAATTAATGAACTTAAGCAAAACATTGGCAAATTATAACAACAGAAGAATTTTCTTGCTCAAATGTAGACAAAAAAATATAATACCTTCACATATAAAAAATAATATTAACTGCATATTCACTATTACAACAGACAATCATCCGTATAAGAATAAAGCTGACAATATTTTAAAAAAATTTAGACGATCAATTTTAAACTTGGAAATCAAAATAACAATATGGAAAATTGATATTACTAACAAAGAAATAATCAAAATAAAATCTGAACTTAGACAAAACATTGATACAATAACTTTAGATAACTTTTATATAAGATTAAAACATAGATACAACTCGTTGTTTGATAAAGTTAAGAAATCAAATTGTAAAAAATTCGAAAATCTGATAAAAAAACATGACACATTTACAATTACTTGTAGAAAGGAATTTATTCATAATTATACCGATATTGAACTTCCTCCACCAGTCCAAAGAATTATAGGAATGGGTCCAAAATTTTCTCTACAATTGGAAACAAAAGATGTCAACATGACTACTATTATTAAAGATTTTGAATATTGTGTACAACAACATCCGTATAACAATAATAAATTAGACCAATTGAGAATGAAAGGAATAAATATGATTACCAATTTTTATTCAAATGGACAATTACTTAATAAAACCAATAGTATGAAAAAAGACATAAATGCTACGAAAAAATTTTTACATGATAACAACAACATTTTTGTAAAAAGAGCAGATAAGGGAAATTCTACTGTCATTTTATATAAGGAAGAATATTTCCAATATATGACAGAGATGTTTAGTGATGAAAATAAGTATGAAGTTGTAAATAAAGATCCTACCACATCAATTGAGACTAAAAGTAATGCAATTATTGATTCACTATCAAAAGCGGGAATCATCGAAAAAACCGAAGTGTATAAATTAAAAAAACATAACAGTATATGCCCCAAAGCATATGGTCTCAGAAAAACTCATAAAGTAGGAAAAATAGCTTATAGACCTGTGATTAGTAACATTAACTCACCTACATACAACTTATCTACATTTATTCATAAAATTTTCTCAAAAATATGTTCCACTTTCCACCGGAGTATTAAAAACTCATTCGAAGCAATTGAGATTTTAAAGAAAACGAATATTCCAGATGGATACATATTAATATCATTAGATGTAATATCCCTGTTTCCTAGCATTCCCAAAACCTTGATGGTAGAAATGATTAAAAAATACTGGTGTTTTATAAGTTGTTTTACGGCAATTCCAAAA